GTAGGTGACTTAAAATGAATTATATGGGTCTAAGCTCAATTTACTAAAAAATAAACTGTATTATTAGAAAAATCAATAGCTTTCCATTCCCAAAATTGCACATACTAAATATGGGAATGAGAGAAAGTGACCTTTCTTGGTCCTTATTTCACAACGTTGCCAAATAGAGAATGAAAATCTTTCATTCTCATATTTTGAGATTATACATGTGAGTTTCATTCCCAAAAAGTTCATTTCGCGAAGCAAACAAGTTACGCCCCAATTGGGTACAAATCAAAACCCAACATCTAAATCCTCAAAGGGAAATACTAGTAACCTTCTCTCTAACATTCTCTCTTGGACCTTCTCCTTTCTCCTTATGACATGTATTATTTTCTTTACACTTGAAATAATGTCATTAATGCATCACACAAACTAATTTTTGTTTTCCAAAGCCAATACATTTTAGTAAGGGTAAATTTGGAAAACAAAAATTAGTTTGTGTGATGCATTAATGACATTATTTTAAGTGTAAGGAAAGTGACACATGACATAAGGAAAAGGGAGAAGGTCCAAAGGAAGAGGTTAGAAAGAAAAGAAAGTTGCTAGCATTCCCCATCATCAAAACCAAAGAATTATTATTATTATTATCTTCTAAGAAATTAAAGCCTTAATCGAGAAAAAAAAAAAAAAAAAGAGGATAGAAGAAGATATTTATCTTGTATATTTTCACGATATTTTCTAGAATGTGCAAAATCGTTTTAAATCCTAATTTAATACACCCCTACATAGTTTATAAATATATTTAGAAGGGTGATTGATTGCATGCACTGAACAGGGCTACAGGTTCCATGAATTTGCACCATCTTTTCATTCTACAATTCTCTTGTTGGTTACCCATTTTGGCTCTCGATCTATAATTGTACATATACAAATACTTTGCCTCTCACTGTATATGCTTCGAACAATTTAGCATCATTTCACCCTAGAACCATAGAATTATATTTCTGATAAATATGGCTTCAGATGGACAGCTTGTGGTTGTTTCTAACATGGAGGTTGAGAACTTGGATGGAGGCAAAGAAGATGCCGACATTTCCAAAACGCAGGTTAGTCTTTAATACGTATTTTTCTTTTTGATTTTCTTCCAAATGTCATGTTTTCTTTCAATTTTCATGTTGTGGCATGATTTGGCTTGATGAGTCTCTCAGACTGCCTTGGGCTAATAGAACTGATCCATAAGGCTAATATTATCATTTGTTCTAGCTTGAATAATTGGTTGCAATTGGGAACCTTAGTTTGAGCTTGAATAACTGGGCGTGAGTTTGACTTGGGAAAACGTTGTCAAACTTGTAGACTTTCTTCTCTTAATATTACAAACTTCTGTTTTTGTTTTTTCCTTTATCTCTTTCGGGTGTAGGTTGTTGGTTGAGACTAAAGAGGCATGCGTTGTGGAAGAGTTAGATGGTTTCACTGAATAGGAGTGAGGGCTGCGGGGGTATCCACTAATTCCCAAATGGATTTCTTCTCAATCACATAAATTTCTTCCTCCATAGCTTTCTTCTAAGCTACATCATTCACAGCTTTTTCAAAACTCTTTGGTTCAATGACACATAACAACTAGCAAACACACCATTGAGATTCATTTTCTTTCTTGGAGTTGAACTAGAACTGAAACCTGGTGATTGAGGTGTTGGACTTGCTACTTGAGGAGATTGTGGTGGAACTTCATGTTCAACTTCTTCTTCATTCTCTTCTACTTCAATGCCATCATTAAATTGAAGTGAAGAACCTTGGACAGATACCAATGGAGTTTAGCCCAGTGGAAAAGGGCGTTTGCAAACCAGTTGTCTCAAGTTCGAACCTCATGACGTCATAGTAGTGTGTGAGTATGAGAAACCCCTCTTCCCCTGTAGTTTATACTATCGCTTGTACTCAAAAAAATAAAGCATTAGACAGATTTTTTCTTCCAATTCAAAGATGTTTCTTCATTACAATAACATCCCTCGAATTATAACTCTCTCTTTCTTCAAGTCGTAGAGTCTATAACCCTTTGTATGACTGTTGTACCCGACAAAGATACACTTCTCACTCTTTTCTTCAAGTTTGTGCCTAAGATTTTTGTGAACATGGGCATAGCATATTGATCCAAACACCCTCAAATAACTCACAGATTTTTTGCCACTGTATGCTTCAAATGGTGTCAAATACACATCAGTATAAACTTCTCCCCAAAACACATAGGGCCCTTCTCAAGTAACATGGACTTTGCCATTTCAACAATCGTCATGTGCTTCTTCTCAGCTACTCCATTTTGTTGTGGAGTATAAGATGTAGTGAGTTGTCCCTCAAGTCTTGTATCCTCACAAAAATTTCCGAACTCATTTGAAGTGTACTCACCATCTCTATCACTTCTTAGAGTTTTAATTTTCAAACCTCTTTGATTCTCCACCACGACCTTAAACTTCTTAAAAATAAAGAGTACCTCTGATTTTTGCCTTAAGAAATATATCCATGTCATTCTTGAAAAATCATCTACAAAATCAGAAAAAATTTATTACCTCCATGAGTACCTCTATGCGCTCGTGGAGACGAGCTCTATGTCTTGGTGTAAAGAAATTTTCTGAAATTAATGGCAAACAAAAATGGCTCGAAACCTTAGGGACAAAAGTAAAGTTAATACACAAGTGTGGCGGCGGGCTAAAGGGTTAGGTAGTGATGGACGCATACAGAGGGGATGGCATGGCTGCGTACTGTTGGGTGGGTAGGGAAGGGGACGGAACTGGGGGAACATGGGGTAGGCCGGAGGGTTGGATACTCTTTAATATTTTAATTATTTTATTTTATTTTCATATACTTTTTAATCATTTTAAACACTTGTACTGCTTTTTCCTTTATTTGTATTTTTTATTTACAATTTCTCAAAGTTCTATAATTAAAAAAAAAAATTGATTTTGTTATTTTTCAATAATTTATGGGTCTAGTAATTGCTACTTCATGAGTTAACGAAATTTTTTACGAATGGACTAAGTAGGGGTGGGCATCAAGAATAGAAAACCGAGTCACACCAGATTGAAAAAAATCGTTGAAAACTGAGTTGACAAAAAAAGGCGAAAACCAAACCATAGAGGTACAAACCAGTTCCGATGTCGGTTTTACACCTCAGAAAATCGGACCAAACCAAAGTAGACCAATCCAATTTATTATTATTTTTAAGGGTAAGTTTCACTTTACTACACGCAAGTTTCACTAGATTCAAACTTTCCTACATGAAGTTTTTTCATGTCAATTTTGATGCCTAAAATTTGATATTCTTACCACTTTCATACCTCTATTAGTATGTCAGTCAAGTTTTCCTAAAAGGACCAATCATCCCATGAATATTGCACTAACTCTTGCTTCCCAAAAAGGAGAGACATATGTCAGCCCACAATTGACCAACCACCCAGAAGGTTACACTTCACTAACAAATCTTCAATCCCTCGTCGAAACAACATAAGAATAGAAACCATCTCCTTAACTATAAAACAGACGTACTTCTCCACTTAAAAGGTAATTTGAACTTCCTTCATTCTAAGTACAATACTTTTCTTACCACTTAGGTATCAGAGGGTGGTTGGTGGCTCCTCCCCCACCACTTTTCCGTGACATTTCCTTATTCTCTTGCAGGAATTGATGACTGAAATCCTACCCTTACACTTGGACACTTAAAGTGAGATCCAACACATACCTTCAAACACTCTAGTGTGGTTACTCTTGAGGGAGAGTTGACTGAAGCTAACTTCATCCTAATTATACTTTAAAACTCAACAAATGCATTATTATTTTTTTTGACTTTCAATTAGGGGTGTGTACATTTACCACCCAATACAAAAATTTGGCAATTTACCATATAAAGTTGAACTTCGGTGCAAATTAACCACATTGATTAAATTTTCTGATAAATCATGTTTTGTGGGGGACTTACGTCGGAAATTACGTTCTCTATTATTAAAAAACAAAAAGATAAATGAAAACACCCATGGCAACCAGGTCCACTCCCTCCTTTCCCTCCAAACCGCTCCAACCACCCCCCTCTCTCTCTCTCTCTCTCTCTCTCTCTCTCTCTCTCTCTCTCTCTCTCTCTTATAATGGATAAAAATTGAATTATGACATGAAATGGGAGTGTAAACAAATTTTAGGATACTTTTGGTCCCCTTACTTTCTGGCAAGGTTTTTATCTCCCCTAGGTTGCTCTAGGGTCTACTCACTGGCTTTTGCTGGTGTTTCTTCCCTTTCCTCCTGTACCTGCCATGTCTGTCTTTTTCTACAAGGTTTGGGGTTTTCATTTTCTGGAGGAGAAGACGCTCTCTGATGTGGAAAATTTTAGTGGTTTGATGCTGGGAGCTTGGATGAAGTGTGGTCCCAGCTCATTTTCTTGGAGCTGGGAGTTTGATGCGGAGTCATAAATTTTTCATAGAGGGGACTCCTCATATATTGAAATATATTTTTTTTAAGGTGACATTTGAATTCAGTTTTAACTTGATAGAAAATTGTTAAATTTGATTAATATACTCTATTAATTTACATATCACATTAACTATCTACTCATCAATACTAGCAAAGGATATTAAATATACTTTGTTAAATATATACACTAAAAAAATTTGAATTATAGTTGATTACTGCAATCCAAGTCAAAATAAGTCAAAAAGATATTGAAAAAATGGGTAGAGGAAGATAAAAAAAACATAAAAGCAAGAAAATGGCACTTTGAAATTTGATAAAAGATAGGGCTTCTTAGATATAGGTCCATTTTCATCAAGATGTAATGGATACAGTCCACATGCTCTTTCTTTTCAATTGCAGTCCAGTCTCACGAATTAAGCAATTAGTATGTTCATAATTTTTAAAACATTTACAGGATATGCCATTATCATAAATGAAATTATATGAAAATACTTTCCTAAAATTCAGTGTTCCCTTATATATCACACTCAACACCCTTACCACAGTATTAATCTTATTAATTAATCATATTCATGGCTCCCAAGGGAGACAATGTTATAGTTTCAAGTATAAAGCTCGAGAAGATACTAAGCATGAAGGGAGGCAAAGGAGAGTTAAGCTATGCTAACAATTCCAAATCCCAGGTAATTACTCCATTATATTATTTGTTTTTTTTCTTCAAAATTTCAAAGTTTTCTCATTTCTGTGCCCAAATAATTGTGTCTTTAATTTTTCAGGCCGAACATGCAAGATCCATGCTTCCCCTGCTTAAAGAAACCCTAGACAGAGTGCAACTGAGCTCTCCAGAAGCCCCCTTTGTGGTTGTGGACCTTGGATGCTCAAGTGGAAGCAACACCATCTACATTATAGACGTGATCATCAAACACATGGCCAAGCGCTATGAGGCCTTGGGATATCACCCGCCTGAGTTCGCAGCCTTTTTCTCTGATCTCCCTAGCAATGACTTCAACACCCTCTTCCAGTTCCTCCCTCCTATGGCCAACCACGGTGGTAGCATGGAGGAGACCGTCGCAGCCGACAGCCACCGCTCCTACTTCGCTGCAGGGGTACCCGGCTCCTTCTACCGGCGGCTTTTTCCTTCAAGGTCCATTGACGTTTTTCACTCGGCGTTTTCTTTGCATTGGCTCTCACAGGTAATTAATCCATTATTGGTTGTGATAGATACTTACTAGCTAATAATTAGTCACTTAATTACTTTATTGTTTTTTTTTTTTTTTTTTTTTTTAAGAATAAGTGATAAGAACTACTGATGACCAAATAAAAGTACAAATCAATTAGGGGCTTTACCATATAACAACGAATAGGAGGGCACCAAGATAAAATGGTCCAGCTCCTCATATCATTGTCATTGGACCGGTTTGTCCAATTTTGAAGGGACTGGATCATTTTAACATTTTGACTTGTGTGAATGAATATTTTATCATTCTCCCAAGCAATTATTGTTCATAATGTAATATAATACGCACAAAATTCTAGGTGGTTGATGGCAAATGTAGTGCAAACAATACCGTTGAAATAGTTGGGGTTAATTTTTCAATAGTAAATTTGGCTTTTCACTTGAAACTTATTTTTCCTTATCTGCAGCCCATCAGCTTATTTTTCTACCGAAAAATGCCTTAAGAGTAACTAGAGGGGTACCAAACTGAAATTAACCAAACTATTTAATATTTCCTGAGATATTAACCGAACTTACTTAAAAGAGAGCATGCATGGTCTTCTTGTTACTTCATGTTTATTGTGTAAAGAGGACTAAACATAACGTTAGTTCTTGAGCTCAAATTATAATCTGGCGGCAAATTTATGTAGAGTCTCTCTTTTGAGCAAGTTCCATTAGCATTTGTTTCAAGATTCCCTCTAATATTTAGTTGATAATTCTTTTCTGTGTTGCGTGGGACCCAGGTGCCAGAGAGTGTGCTAGACATGAAATCAGCAGCCTACAACAAGGGAAGGGTGTTTATTCATGGAGCAAATGAAAGCACAGCCAATGCATACAAGAAGCAGTTCCAGACAGACTTGGCAAGCTTTCTCAGGTCAAGAGCCAAGGAGCTCAAGAAAGGTGGCTCTATGTTTCTTGTCTGTTTGGGCAGGACCTCAGCGGACCCCACTGACCAAAGTGGCCTAGGCCTTCTCTTAGGGACCTACATTCAGGGTGCTTGGGATGATCTTGTCCAAGAGGTAATCATGATATATATTGTCGCAAAATAATAACTCTTGTTGGCTGCTGGGTGCTTGGGATGATCTTGACCATGGGATCAATTGAGTAGCTCGTTGACACTGGTTATATATTACAATGGGAATATTCATTGTTGGTGCCGGTGGAGTAAACTGCATATTTTTTCTGCGAAAATCGTGCTCTGGCCCTAATAAATAATGGGAGAATTTCACTTCTACCTCTGACGTTAGGCATAATTAGCGTCAGATCCCACAGGTTTGATTTATTGTAGTGACACCCCTTCTGTTAGTTGATTTTAACGGGAAATTACGTTTGACGGATGAAAGGTCAATTCTATGCAGTCCAAGCTAATTAAAACACAAACCCCTTCCTCAAACCTGTGGGGTCTGTTCTAATTATGCCTAAACTTAGGGGACGTGAGTGAAATTCTCCCATAAATAATATTACTATGCAGTCCAAGCTACAACCTTATATAAGTAATGTTTCATGTACCACATTTATTTTATATATATATATATATATATATTAGTACAATCGATAATGTTTCACACACACACACAACTATGATGCTATGAGGATTTGAACCTAAAACCTTTGGTAAGCAAATAAAGGCATTTTTCCATTGAACTAGACTCCATTGGGCCACATGATGATAAATTTAATCAAATAAATATTTAGCTTTAGATTTTGTTTTTGTATAATTTATACTACTACTTTTGACATAAACTTGTGATGTATATATTAATTATCAATTTTTTTTGCAGGGTCTTACCAATAGTGAGAAACGTGACAGTTTCAACATTCCTGTGTATGCTTCAAGCTTGCAAGATTTCAGGGAAGTAGTGGAAGCTGATGGCTCATTCACCATAAACAAGCTTGAGATTTTCAAAGGAGGAAGTCCCATTGTAGTAAACCAACCAGATGATGCAGCTGAAGTCGGTCGAGCCCTTGCCAACACTTGTAGGAGTGCGACCGGAGTGCTCATTGATGCACACATAGGTGAGCACCTTGGCAATGAGTTGTTTTCAAGAGTGGAACAAAGGAGCTCAAGACATGCCAAAGAGCTACTGGAGCATGTACAAATGTTTTACATAGTGGCATCAATTTCTCTTGCTTAATTAGAGACGCTGTCGTTTAGTTGTGTTATTTTTCACTGCATAGAGGATAAATAATCCAACACACGAAGGAGAGAAGAAAAACGTTAGGGTAGGAACGCTACCTCCTCTCTTTTCCTCCTTTTGTGTGTTTGTTTTGTGTTATTAGTGATTCTGGTAGTCACCTTTATTAATATATACTTGATGGTGGATTTTGCGACTTTATGTTCCTCTGAATAATCAATTAGCCTTTTATCTAGTTGTAGTTCTCTTTACTACTTAGTTGGAGGAGATTTCAGTCGACTTATATAGATCGATCACAATATATATTTTTGATGAGTTTGATACATAGTTATGACTTGCTCAATTACTATGATGTAACTTTGTTGTGAGTGTATTGACTTCTTGTAAAAATATCCTTGTACTTAAACTATCATTTGTCACAAAGAAAATTCCGCTAATAAAAGAGGTAAATGACAAGTACAATTTTAACAATCATAGCTTTCGAAATCTATGCGTTCGTGGAATCGACAAAGTTGGTAGTGTTGAAACCTACTTAGAGAGCCTTGTTTCACCTAAATAGAGTGAGAAAAATAGAAAGAAGTAATTTGTAATCTCTTTTTTGGTCTTAGTTATTATTCTTTTGAAGCTGCAAACAAGGTTGTTAATACCAGTGTTAGAGTATATACTCAATAGGAGGAGAGACATCAAACTTTCTTTGTTACTCGTTAGACAGAAGTCTCTGGTTAATATTTCTTATTGGGTTTTGTTTTGTTTACTCAACTCTTACAGATTTATGGATGTATTTACGATTCTTCATTTGAATTTTCTTTTGGATGTAACTCAAAATGCATAACAGTTTGTTGTAGATGCCAGAGAGCACAAATATGTTGCAATGTTTATGTGTTCAATTTCATAGCCATTGTATTTAGGGTCATATTTCAATGTCTTATTATGTTTTGTGGTGTAATGAGATTTATTATATTAAATTTACATGACAACAATTAAGTAGTTTTTAACTTTTAATCTCCACCTTTGTTTTAAATAAAGATGCATACCTCACAAATTATTATTATTATTATTATTATTATTATTATTATTTATGAAGGAAAAGTTTAGGGGGAGGTGGGGAGGCTATCCAATCCCTGGGTCAGGCATACTAAGGTCTCTTTGAGAACTTACAAAGGGGGTCTTAACCCCTTTTTTCGTTTTTACAGATTACTCATCAAGAAGGATTGGCGACAGCATGACTTGAACCTAAGCCTTTATAGCGAAGAAAACTATCATTACCAACTCAACCAACCCTCATTTCCCCTACAAATTTAGAATTCAGGCAGCCAATGAAATTAGTGTACTTGGTACAGTAATTAGTTATTTATTTATTTTAAATTCCTTTCAAATGGTTAAGTATGAGAGCATCTCCATTGCAGGGGTGTAAAGGGAAATGTAAAGGATATTTACACCGAGAGTTGCCGGAAGTTACTCCAATGGTAGAGAGAAAATTAATGCAAATATAGCATTTGGTCGAAAAATGTAACAACCTTTTAACGCATATATGAGGACTATAGTATAGCCGATCCCTAGGCTTCCCAAGCTTACATTGATACTATTTTGGAGAGGATGAGGGATATAAACTTATGATAAATGATGACGAAGATACTGAGGTCAAAAGACTCGCTGAGTTTATGAAGTTGAGACAAGAGAATGATGTGGTTGAGATAAGAAACGAAGTGGATAAGTAGTTGTGGTGGGATGTTTAAAATCCTAAGAATCCTCAACTTCAATTGTTAGAATCTGCATTCATTTTGGATGGTTGAATCCTTTTCATGTTTCTTTGACTCCAAAAGTGATGGAGGCCCTAATTTGTACAAGTGATTGGTTAAAAGTGGATGAATATTTCTTTTACAAGGAACCCACAAAAGATGCGCTCGAGTTCTATGACGTTTGGAGAAAATTGAGTTGGGTAAGACTAAAGCTACTATTTCAATTAATATATTGATTTGTCAATTGCATTTTTTTCAATGTTTGTTCATTCTCTCACACTTTAGAGGTTAGCCAAATGACAGAGCAGCAAGTAAGCACTAGCAATATATTGCTAGATCTTGCATGCCTTGCTAGAAGGTGAGCTACTTGATTGCACTCTCTTGAATTGAAAGAAACAGTAACATCATCAAATTGTTGCAGACTCCTCTTAATATCATCAATGAATGCCCATCTGATGCCCAAGACTCTTCCTCACCATTCTTTAAGTCATTTACCACCTCTTGTGAATCAGACTCAATCAGTATAGAAGAAAATCCAGCATCCCGAGCAAACTTCACCCCGAATAGTATAAGTTTGTTGGAAATTCAGTTTTGAGCCTACTGATTTGGGCCTTCAAAATTGTTAATTGTTCCAGAAAACTATTTGTTTTTCAAATCTCAATTTGGTAAGGAACTGGTTTGGGCCCAATAGCAATCCAATACCGACCCCTATTATGTGACTAGGACTGGATGAGAATGTTTCTTTCTATCCGCGAAGATGAGGGCATTTTAGTAAATCAAGCTGGTAACTGATTTGAATTCCTCCTGCGAGTGCGCAAGCCTAATGCTTAGGCTTAGGAAGGAAGAAGAAGAAGATATAGAAGGAACGGACGAACGAAGACGACAACGTTCTGGGTTGGTGATCGAGAGAAATGGTGAAGGGGCTGCAACTACCAGGACAACAAAACCTGCCACCCGATGTGACCCATCTCATCGATCAGCTGGAGCGCCACTGCCTGGCTCCCGATGCTTCCCTCGTCTCCAAATCCGCTTACTTCGACCTCCAACTTGTATCTCTCTCTCTCTCTCTCTCTCTCTCTCTCTCCACATTTCCCTGCTTTGTTCGGTTTCCTAGAAAATGTGGCTGGCTACAATTCCTTTGATTTCTTAGAATTATTGACAAATTTGCAGGCTAGGGAGGAAATGTCCAACGAAAGACTGCGTTACTTGGAAGCCATGGTAATTCATTCTCCTATATTCATGGAGTTCCTATTTGACAAGGATTTTAAATTTGTGTGAGAATTCTGATGTAGGCAATTTACAGTGAGGCAATTGCAATGGTGGAGGAGTATGAACAAGGCTTGAACAACTCTCCTCAGGTTTCACTTTTTGTCACACTTTGAACTTGCTTTCTTTATTATTGCAAGTTTGGAACAATTCTAACCTCTAGAGTCTACCCATTTTTTTCTTTTTGAATTTATTGCTTTTCAAATTGGCTTCACATCATCTGTTGTCAGGTCATGATTTTGCATGAAGTATGAGAGACACTCCAAACTGCAATGTGTAGTGTTTAGAATCAAAGGGTGTATTTGCCTTCCTTGCATGGGAATTGAATTATTTCCTTCTATTTGTTCCATTTTGAAGAAGAAATGAAGTGAAAAGAAAAACAAACTCCGTCTGAATTGTGACTGACAAACCACTGCAAAAATTTGCCTTACATGGAAGAATGTTCATTATTATTTTTAATCTAATCATTACCTTAACTTTATATAGTTACAATGATAGACTTGTGTATTAGAATTTAGGTTATCTTCAAAAGACGACATGCTAACTCAATCTTCACTGGATGCTCAAATGTAATGTGCCCTTAGTATCCTGTTATGCAGATGAGCCATGTAAGCAGTCTAAAACTGATGAGAACCTAATTTTTCATGTATATATCAGCTGTATGAAACATTAGAGCATCGTATGACTATTGCGGAAGCAGCTCAAAGGTTGAGGCTTCCTCTTCTCTCCAAGGATGGTGAAATTCATGAGGACGAAATTGAAAAATGCAGTATGATGTCACGGAGTTCCCTTGATAGCACTTGCACCAGTTTTACAGTCAGCTCAAGTTCCAACTCGACAAATTGTACTACTGCAAATAGCACTAGTGCAGCAAACAACAATATGTCTCTTAGTGCTGCTGATGTTGTGGAACCTGCAATTGGTGGTGTACCCAATCGCTTTCTTGGGATTACACCTGGTTATCTGTGGCAAACACAGCTCCAGCAAACCCCCTTCTCCATGGTACAATGTTCATATGGTTCTGGCATTCAAACAGTTGTCCTTTTCTTTTACATATTTGTTTATAGTTTGCGTTTTTTTTTCTGCTCTAAACATCTTTTCTTAGAGAATCTGTTATTTTTCTGTATATAGTCCTTTAATATGAAGATATAGCCTTGGTGAAGCTGTCCCTTATTAATGGAATTTTTTAGATACATCTGTGATGCTTAAACTGCAGGATATGACAGAATACCAGTTGTGTCTTTCCCATGAGATTGAGGCTCGTTTGAAAGCTAAATGTGATGTGTTAGTTAATGCCTTTGTAATGGATGACATAGGTCTCTCTCTCTCTCTCTCTCTCTCTCTCTCTCTCTCTCTCTCTCTTGTTTTTTACTCTCTCTTCCCACCCATATATGAACGCAATCCAGATTCCATAGCCATTACAATCTTGTGATGAACATGTTGACTTGTTGATCTACTTCTCAGGGCCTCCACTTAATCAATTTCTGTATGAAAAGTCAACTGTCATCTGCATGCCAAACTGTTGATCAGCATCATTTCTATTTTTTGTCTTATTCATTCTGGGAAAGGATACCCCAGATTCACTGCTCCAATGCAATCTTTGCTCTTATGATTTTCTCTTTCCTGGAGAGGATCATGAGGATCAAGTTTACTAGTATCCTAGAAATTTAATACACAGTATCTATATTCTTTATACTTTCCTGGGCATAATTAATACCAATCATATAACCAATAGGCAATATGTTTATGTATAGTGGTAATAGGCGTAAATTAATACCATTGTTTTCTTGCAGCAGATTCATCACCCGGGCATCAAATTTCAAGTGCTCCGCTTCCAGAAAGGTTTCGGTTACTCTCTTAATGCAACGTTTATCTTAAGACAATTCCCTTTTACACGGAGCAAGATTCTTTCTACTGATGTTTGTAAATTTTATTTGACATGTAATATAGTCTGTTACTTGAGCTAGCAGCTGACATGAGTAGTTGTAATAGAAA